GAGACAGGGTTTCTCTGTGTAGCTTTGCGCCTTTCCTGGAACTCACTTGGTAGCCCAGGCTGGCCTCGAACTCCCAGAGATCCGCCTGGCTCTGCCTCCCAAGTTGCTGGGATTAAAGGCGTGTGCCACCACCGCCCGGCGAAATTCAGATTTTTAACTATGGATGTGTTAGAGTTCAACTACAGGAAACAGCCTCATAGCTCTGGCGTTCTTTGGCATGTGATGCAGGATTTAGGGATAGTGTATCTCAAAGGTTCCATTTGACTGGCCTCTCTATCCGGGGTCTCAGTGACAGGACTCTGCAGGTGGGGTTGGTCACCTGTCGCTTTTGCAGAGGTGACATTTGGCCAAAGTCCTGTTTCCCTTGGGTTTACTCTGACTCCTTAGATCTTCAAATATCCTAGGTCCCCCTGCCTTACTGGGTGGGGCAAATGACTGATTTTTAGGTACCTCCCTCCCCCATTATCACCTGTCTAGGAGGCAATTGCACGTGGAACCTGGTGATGGAGGAAATTTAAATTTAAGTGTGCATTACATCCTGCCCTGAACATGGTAACTCGAGTCCAGTTGCTGGGCTAAATTTGCATTATGTCATATCTCTTTACTTTTTTTTTTTTTGTTTTTTTTTGAGACAAAGCCTCACTATGTAGACTGGCTGGCTGGAGCTCACAGAGATCCGCCTGCCTCTGCTTCCCAAGTGCTGGGATTAAAGGCATGAGCCACCATGCCTGGCCTCTCTAATTCTTTATTAAAAAACTTTTATCTAATTGGGTTCCATTACTTATGTAAATTGATCTTTTAAAATGTTTATTGGCTTGGGGTTGGATTTAGTTCAGTAGTAGAGTGCTTGCCTAGCAAGCACAAGGCCCTGGGTTCGGTCCTCAGCTCCAGAAAAAAAAAATTTATTGGCATATTAATTGTGCATAATACATTATGATTCTCCATTATGTACGTGTGCATGGCATGCATCTGCAGAGACCGGTAGTCACTGAATAGTGTCTTTCTCAATTCCTCTCCAGTTTACTTTCCAGACAAGGTCTCTCACTGACCCTCAGCCAAGTCCCTGGCATCCTCCTGTCCTCACTCCCCCTCTGAGCACCATGGAGAGACTTTTCAAGTGGTGTTGGGGACCTGAATTCAGGTCCTCATGCTCAGTAAGACTTGCTGACTGGGCCATCTCCCCAGGACCTCCTTATGACATTTCGTAGATGTACAAACTGTATTTTGATCACATTCATCCTCTCATTACTCTTTCTTGGGTCTCTCCCACTCCTAAAGTCACTCCCCTTTCAGGCAGTGTTTAACTACGTAGCCTTGGCTGGTATATATAAAATATATGTCTATATAGAACTTCCTATATAGACTAGGTTGGTCCAAAACTCAGAGATCCTCCTGTTTCTTCTTCATGAGTGCTGGGATTAAGGGCATGTGTCTCCATGTGCATGTGCCTATAGAGGTGAAAAGTGGAATTAGATCCCATGGGACTTCAGCTGCAGATGTTTGTGAGCCATCATGT